TAAATATTTATTTAGTTGTAGATGAACATAGAATATCTTTATTTATTTTTATGTGGTGCTGAGGATCAAACCCAGTGCCTCACACATTTGAGGCAAGCACTTTACTACTGAGCTACAGCCCCAGCCCTCTGTCAATATCTTGAATTTATCATCCCACTCCCTTCTGGCCTGCGAATTTTCCTGGGGAATCCTCTGATAATCTCATGAAAGCCCCTATATATTAAATAATTGCTTTTTTCCTTGTTGTCTTTGATTTTGAATGTTTTGATTATAACGTGTTTCTTTTTAAATTTTTTTTTTGGGGGGGCTGTTGTAGATGGACACAATACCTTCATTTTATTTATTTATTTTTATGGGTGCTGAGGATTGAACCCAGTGCCTCACACGTGCCAGGCAAGTGCTCTACCACTGAGCCACAACCCCAGCCCTTTAAAACAGGTTCCATGAGGTTCTCTCTTGATTTATTTTAGTTGAAGTTCTTTGAGCTTCTTGAATTTTTTTTTTCCAAATTTGGGGACTTTCAGCCATTATTTCTTCAAAATATTCTCTGCTCTTTTCTCTTTCTTATCCTTTGTAGTTCCCACATGGATATCTTGGTCCATCTGATGGACTTTAAGTCCTTTCTTTTTTCTTCTACAGTTTTTAATCCCTTTGTTATATTTTCATTTTGCTCATGCATCACTTCCTGGTTTTATTTAGTTACTTCTGTGTCCTTTTAGTTCATTAAAAACTTTTATAAAAATATATATTGATTTGTTTTTCTCAAGAAGCTCATAAATTTGTGGTTTTTAAGGGTTGGTTTGAGGCTTTTATTTTATTCCTCTGATTAGGCCATATTTCCCTGTTTCTTTGTATGCTTGTAATTTGGAGGTGTGTGTGTGTGTGTGTGTGTGTGCGCGCTGAAATCCGGGCATTTAAAAAAACAATTACCTCCCCCAATCTTTATGAAGGGGAAGTCCTTCACTAATCAGTCCAGTTAGAGGTCCTAGAACCTCTCAAACCTTCTCCAATCTCTTGTTGCCTTGGCATCTGCCTGCAGAACTGAGGCTCTCACAAACTGTTAGGCTTAGTTTTCAGTGACTTCCAAAGTCTTGCGCTGATCTCATTAGTTCCGCACTCAGATAAGTCAGATAGAGTCCAGTCCCTGGGGCAGCCGTCAGTCACATCAGAACCATGGGCATGTGTTTAATTTCTTTGATTCTTGTCCTGCAGGAGGCCCTCTGGTATGGTAGGTTGCCTCCCAGTTGTTCCCTCCTGTGCCACATAGGGAGAGGAGCACTAAAGGTCACTGCTGTGGACTGAATGTGCCCCCCAAATCTACATGTTAAAACTTAATCACTACAGTGATAGAACCAAGAAGTGGGGCCTTCGAGAAGTGAATAAATCACGAGGACAGAGCTTTTGTGGATAGAATCAAGGCTCTTACAAAAGGGAGGGAGGAAGGCAGGGGCTGTAGCTCAGTGCAGAGCACTTGCCGAGCACACCTGAGGCCCTGGGTTCAGTTTTCAGCACTGTAAAAATTAAGAAGTAATAAAATAAAAGGAAGTTTGTGGGTCCATTCTCTTCTGCTCTTCTGATATTGGAGGACACAGCATTCACCCCCCTTTTGACCTTTCATCCCTCTGTCACGTGGGGGCAAGCCTTCATAGTCATCATTTTGGAAACAGAGACCGTGACCTCATCTGACACCAAACCTCATTATTGATCTTGATCTTGGACTTCTAGCCTGCGTAACTGTGAGAAATAGATTTCTGTTTTTTATAAGTTCCCATTCTCAGATATTTTGCTATTGCAGTACAAATATGAAGACAGGCATGCCAAATGCCACCAATTTTCCTACACTTTCCCCTGGAATCCCTTCTTGATTTTACAATTGTGAGTGCTGTGGCTTTTCAACTGGCCTTTGTATTTGTCCTAGAGGTTTGGTAGTCTTTTATATTATTGTCAAGTCTGTGTTTCTGTGGAGGAAGGAGGGTCCGTAATTTCTCAGACTGCCATCTGATATTGCTCTGCAATTACTTTTTAATTTTTTTTTAACTTTACAGTGCTGGGGATTGAACCTAGGGCCTCACACATGCTGGGTAGACACTCTACCACGGAGCTACATCCCCAACGCGGCAATATAGATTTTTCTGTGGTCACTACAGCTTTTTTGTAGTCAAAGCTCCAGGAATGGAGAGTCGTCTCTGGAGTACAGTTGTTTGGAGGGGACTGGTTTGGGGAGGATTGTGATTTTCCTGAAGCCCTCCGTGGAAATAGCATCCGTGAGAACTGACGCCGCATCCCAGTCTTAGTGGCCTTCTTTGGTCCTCTTGTCCCCTGGTCATCCTGGCACACTGCAGGTAACCCAGCTGGTCTCCTTCCCCTTGCAGTGTTCTGACCCGCAGAAGCTGTTCAACATCGCCCAGGAGCTCCTGCACACTGAAGAGACCTACGTGAGGCGGCTGCACCTGCTGGACCAGGTAGCCCACCGCTGAGGGGCCCGGCTTTGTCCACTTGCAGAATTCCTATGGGCACTTTCAGAGACAAACTCTTCATCCTTACATTGATTGAACATTGCATTTGGAGTAAAAAAAATGCTAAAACTTTGAAAAATTTAAGTCTGGTCTAGAAACCTACATTTTTCTTTCCATGCCTGTGGCTGGGGGGTAAAGGTTCTGCCCAAGCACCTTTGGGACTCTTCTTGGTGGTTGCATGGTCTGAGTATGTAAATGGCTGCTGGGCATTTTTCTGCGTAAATAAGTTGAGGTGGGAGTGCCACACATCAGAGTTCACAAGGTGACACGGGGCCCCTGAGCACAGGAAATAAAGTGCCCGTGGAAACCAAGACTTGACAGGGTGCGTTGCTTCTGCTTGAATCTCAGAAGCCAGAGAAGGAAATCTTGACTTTTCATTTCTTGTGAGAAGGGGAACAGGAAGATGTCTTGCTCCTTCCCCAGGGACTGCCCCTGCCTCGCTCACAATTCTCAGCTCTAAATAAGCTTTAATGACAAAAGAAGACAACAACTCTGGCATTCATTAAGAAAAGCAGGGTGGGGACACTGCCCAGGGCCCCCCGCTGTGACAGATGCGTCTCGCGGTAACTGCCCACCATGGTCCATGCTCCCTGGTGGACATGGGCTTCTTCATGCCCAGGTTTTCTGCACCGCACTGACGAAAGCAGGAATCCCTTCGGAAGTCACTACTGGCATCTTCTCTAACATCTCCTCCATCTACCGCTTCCACGGTCAGTTCCTGCTGCCCGAGCTGCAGCGGCGGATCACGGAGGAGTGGTGAGTACCAGCCACGGCCCCCTGGCTCCTTGTGCAAGAACCGGGCAGCACCTGGGGGGGGCCTGTCTCGCGGTGGCCTGGGTGCCTCCCTTCTTGGCCTGGTCCTAGGTCCCAATCCCAGCCCCACTCTTCCTTGCTGGTGACCTTGATGGGCCACATAAGGTCTCCAAGCCTTAAATTTTGAGGAAACTGATGATACAAAAATGAGGGGGGTTTTAATAGTCACAGGGATCCATGGAATTGAAATGAGACTTGATATCCAGAAACACAAGATGGTGAACAAATAGTGCTAGTTGGTTTTATTTTCCTTTCTAGCATGCGCTGCACCTTGGCTTTTAAAAGGAAGGAGATTTCCTCCCCATCAACAGTAGATTATCGATCTTCCTCCTCTGTTGATCCTGCCCCTCTGTTGCTTCTGCCCATTCTTAGCAAAGGCTTGGTTACAAGACACGATTAGTGACACATCACAGACGAGGCCCCTCAACCCATCATTTCTCCTTGTTATGTGCACCCCCACCCCAAATTCGGGGAAACCTAAAGCTTGGCTTAGGGCCCCTGCTGTCCACCTCCTTCACAAGCCTGGCTTCCTCTTGGTGTCCCCAGAGCCCAGGACCAGGGGACTTGGCTGGGGATTCTTTCACCTGTAGCCCAGGGGGGCGCTGAGTCACTTTGTGAATATTCAGGACAGAGTCCGGCTGCAGAGCAGGATACACTGTGTCCCCAAGGTGGTCAGGATTGGGTGGGGCTTGATGACAAAGTCCCTGCGTGTGAGAGACAGATTCTCCTTTCATGCCACAGAGATTCAACCGTAAGGGCCTAATAGGAACCTCCTCCGCTCCCTTTCTGGTGCAAGGGACCCACCACTTCCCCACCCTCCCGTCCCCGAGTTGCGGGGCCTTTCGATCAAACCCACATGTATCCTTTCAAAGGAGCACCACAGCTAGGCCTTTGTGCCTAAGGCTTCTTTCTTTCTTTGCAAGTATTTACTTAGAATAAATCCCCAACAGAGAGCTCCAAAATCAAAGACTATTAATGTACTTTTTTACTTCTCGTGACTTATTCGCAAAGCCCCATCCAAAGGAGAAGGAAGTTGGTATGATCGTGCAGCATGAAGAGCTGCTCCCTGGTGACTGTCGGCATTGAACAGAACCATCGTTTCTAACCTTTGCTCACTTAAAAGGTGTAAAGTTGATCCTCTTATAAACTGTGACCTGTCACCCAAGGGTGCTCCTGAGTGTTGGCTCTGATTCTCAGCCTGAGCTGTTGAGGTGCTTCATAGACATCTTCTATGTTATATTCTACCCTCCAAATAGTGGAGGGGAGGAAGCAGGCTCAGAACAGGTGACCAGTGTGCCCACCGTCACACAACACAGGGACTCAGCTTGTTGCCCTTGCCTGCCCCGCATCCCCCTGTGCAGTTCATGGGTGAAGTTCGTGTCCTTTAACCTCGGGAGGCCCCTCCCACCCAGGCTGCTTCTCTGATGACCCTCCTCCTCTACCAAGGGACACAAACCCCCGGCTTGGGGACATCCTGCAGAAGCTAGCCCCGTTCCTGAAGATGTATGGCGAGTATGTCAAGAACTTTGACAGGGCGGTGGGGCTGGTGAGCACGTGGACCCAGCGCTCGCTGCCATTTAAGGACGTTATCCACAGCATCCAGGTAGGTGGCCGCAGGGTGTGGGCACAGACATCCTCCAGGCTCGTGCTTCTGGGTGCATTGGGAGCAGAGAGAAAATCAGTAAAATTATGGGATGGGTCCTGGTGCTCTACAGACGCTTCGCTCTGACTCCCAGGGACAAATCGTCATTCCCATTTCACAGATGGATAAATCGTGGCTTAGCAGCACAGATGATTATTTGATAGAACCTGGATTCAGAGATCTGTCTCTGACTCCAAGTGTCCCTTGAGGTGTAGGGCAGGCGTTTAGCAGGTGCCCTATTATCTTTTTCTTTGTCAGCAACAGCCTGTTTATAACCACCCTTGTCTCCTGCAGTGTTGGTCTTTTTCCTACTGATTCACAAGGTTTTTGTATGTTAAGAACATCAACTTTTATCTGTCACCTTGACATGACTTATTTTTGCCCATGAATCTTTGATTTATTAGCTTTACAGTGAGGATGGCCGTATAGAATTTTTGGTTTTTAAGTACCTACATTCACCACAGGTACAAAAGGTAGCTTTTTAAAAAGACAGACCAATGTAGTGTCCAGATGGACTGTGGTGTGTGGGAAGAACCCAGGTTCATTTTTTGAATGAATGCTCGTCTCAACACCAGTAGTGACCCTGAGTGTGCATGCACACACACATACACGCACACCACACGCCTCACTGTAGCTTGGAGGGTTCCTGGACCCTGAATGCTCACCACTGGGTATTTGGAGTGGCCCCTAATACCTTTGCCCTAGGCCATCTGTCATGAGGTCACCATGGTCTCCTAGTGCCCCTGACTCAGTAGCAGAGTCAGGCCCCAGAAAAGACCACCGTGTCCTCTCCCTGAGCCCCTCCTTTCCCCCTTTGACCTCTCTCCTTGTACTTCTTAGCTGGCTCCTCCCTGGCTGTCCCCACAGAACAGCCTCAACCAGCTGCATTTGCTGACCCAGCTTCTCCCCCGGGACACTGTCACCACTGCCCAGCTCACATTGTCCACAGAAACAGCGACAGCCAGGCCTCCAGGGCAGACAGGGCCCATCCTGAGCGGGGTTTCTCAGAGGGTGGAGCATTCAGCTGGTGGAGGTGCCGTGGTTTTTATGTCCTCAGAGGAGACCAGGACAAAAGTCCACTTTCCAGGACACAGGTTGCAACATGCTTTCGTTCCCAGGAAGCATGTTCCCCTTAAAGTCAAGGTACCATCAGTTATTCAGAGGGACCCTGGCTGGGGTCCCCTCCGCTCCTCCCTGGCCCAACCTGCACATGGCCTGCGTGTCCTTCCTTGTCCTCCTGCTTAAGTTTGCCGTTTTCTTTTCTTCTCTTTCCCCTCCTCTGCCTCCTTCTCTTCTTCCTACATTGTCATCATCGTTGTCGTCATCATCTTAACACCATAATTGAGGAAGCTGACCTCCGTCTAAATTTGCATTGGCCCATCGATATCTGACTTTGTTCTTTGGAGAAAGAACAGAAAAAAAAAATCGGGGTTCATTTGGTTTGTTCCCCAGGTTGCCGTCAGCCGTGTCTCCCCTCTGGGTCTCAGAATGCAGGAGGAGGGGAGGGATACTCTGGGAGCGTGTGCTTTCTTCCTGGGAGATGTGACACTACTCATGCAGCCACGCATCATGACATGTGTGCGCCACGGAGCTCAATTAGCAGCTCCTTCCTGAGATGAAGACAGACACTCAGCCTGGCACAGGCTGCTGTCCCCCATACACATTAGGCAGATATGGTCCCAAGCAACATCTGCCTGGGGACACTTGCTGGCCGTCATGGCCCACAGTCACCTGTTCCCACACCCTGGGCAGATCTCTGGTGCTGAACCAGGCAGGCTGTGGGAAGGCTCCACCCCTTGGAATCAGCAGGGTCCAGCATTCTCTGCAGATGACATTGCCCCCCCTCCAGGGACCTACACCATGTCTGTAGACATTGATGTTGTTCCTGGCATCTGGTGCGTGGAAGCCGGGGATGCTCTGCCATGCACAGGACAGCCCACAAAGTCTCCCACCCAAATGCCCAGAGGCCAAGGCTGAGAAGCCCTGGAGTGGACAAAACAGGACAGCATCACAGTCAAGTTTCCTGTGGCCTCTGGAGATTTCCCTCTGTGCAATCCAAGGCATATTTAAAATAAAACGTTTGTTTTTAAATAATTTTAAACATTTACAAAAAAGTTGCAAAAATGACAAGCTGTTACAAACTGGTAGCATTTTGTCCTGTCCATCATCCTCTCTTTTTTTGAGTCTTTGAAGACAGAGTTATAGACACTGTCAGCCTTTCCCCTTAAATGTGAATGAGAATGTTCTCCTGCGTCACCACTGAGCCACATCCCCACTACTTTTATTTTCTGAGACGAGGTCTCACTAACTTGCTTACAGCCTTACTAAGTTGCTGAGGCTGCAATCCTCCTGTCTCAGCCTCCCGAGTCGCTGGGATGACAGGTGTGCACCACTGTGCCTGGCCACTCTTGTGTTTGTAATGAAAAAGTCTGTAGCACTCTGAGCAGCTCTAGGTGTGAGGAGAGATGCTCGCCTGATTCCCTGTAGGGAGAGTAAGGAACAGCTTTCTCCATCTTCCAGCAAAGGGGAGAGGAGGTCAGCTCAGACCCATGCATGAGCATGGTGTGGAAAAATCACTCTAGCCAGCAGGGGGCAGTCTTGTCCTGGTGTCCATTTTTCCATTAAGGGTGTGAGCTCTGGGCCTGCAGCCACCCCAGTCAGGGTTCTGGTCCTCTCTGAGCCTTAGCTTCCCGTTATAAAGCGTGGTTGGTGGGGCTGGGGTTGTAGCTCAGAGGTTGAGCATGTGTGAGGCACTGGGTTCGATCCTTAGCACTACATTAAAAAATAAATTAAAAAATAAAGATATTGTGTCCATCTACAATTAAAAAAAAAAAACAAAACCGTGGCCTGTGCCAGTCGTGTCTTCAAGGGCAGACCGCTCCAGGCAGCCTCCTGGGTCTGTGGTGGCCAGCAGCAGGAGCAGGGCCAGTGTGGACGTGCCTGTCCTCAGGGTGCCCCGCACTGGCCTGTGTCCCCGCAGAAGCAGGATGTGTGTGGGAACCTGACGCTGCAGCACCACATGCTGGAGCCCGTGCAGAGGGTGCCCCGCTACGAGCTGCTGCTGAAGGACTACCTGAAGAGGCTCCCCAGGGGGGCTCCGGACTGGAAGGACGCGGAGAGTGAGTGCGGGCAGCCGGGAAGTGAGGGGGCCTGGGATGGGACAGGGACAGCCGCTGAAAGCCCTGGGGTGGGGGAGGGGGAGAGAGGCAGAGACACAGAGAGACAGAGGAGAGAGAGGCAGAGACACAGAGAGACAGAGGGGGAGGGAGGGAGAGACAGAGATAGAAACAGGATGGGGGGAGAGACATACAGAGAAGGGGAGATAGGGGAGAGAGACAGAATCAGAGAGACAGAGAGAGAACCCCTTGAGGAAGTGACTTAGTGAATCTCCTCCACCAGACTTAGGAGGGGGACTTATTTCTTATGTGCTGCCAAACGCTGGAGCCATCCAGAGTGCAGGCCCCACAGGACCTGGTGGGCCTGGTGAGGGCCGCTCCTGGTCCCCTAGCACTGACCGTTGTGGCTGGTGGCAGACAGGACAGGAGTCCAGGCAGGAGAGTGGGGTCCCACGTGATGTGGCCCCAGCAGGCTGCCAGCAGAGGAGGTGTATCTGCAGGGCCGTGGCCCCACCCTGTGCCTGGGCCGGGGGGTCTGGGGCAGCCTGGGCGCCCTCAGAAGGGCTGAGCGTGGGAACCTCCCCACGGAGCAGCCGCCCACGGCCCCGGAGGCAGCCTGTCCTGTAAGTGTGCAGAGCCGCTCTGTGCCCAGGGTGACCTGGTTCCTCCTCCTGCAGGGTCCCTGGAGCTCATCTCCACAGCCGCCAACCACTCCAATGCTGCCATCCGGAAGATGGTGAGTGAGGGCCTGCGGGGGGCGGTAAATGGCAGAGCAGTGCAGGAGCCAGGGCCGGGAGCTGTTTTAGAGAGCACATCTACCCTGTCCCCAGGTGGTCCCCCACAGGGCACCTCATCCCTGCTCCAGGTGGGCCTCCTCAGGGAGCACCTTTGCCCCTAGGTGGTCAGGGGCCCTGTCTCGTGCCGGACAGGCCTGTTCCTCACTAGATCTGTGCTCTTCAGTCAGTTATTTAGTGCTTGCCCCTTACCTTCCCCATCTTTGAAATGGGGGCACCGACAGAACTTTTCTCACTGGCCACACGAGGATTGGGAGAGTCACTGTTCATTCTGTGTTTAAAACACGACCTGGCCAGATAAGAGTCAGCTGTCATCACTGTCATCATTAAATCACTCATTCATTTCCTGATGGTGTATTTCAGTCTCTTTCCCTGGCTGTATCTATACATGCCCAGCTCTCCAGTGGTTCCAGGTATATACCCAGCCCCCCAAATATGCACCAAGTGTGTGCCCAACCCCCAGCACCTACCAGGTACCTACAAAGCTTCCCTAAGACACACCAAGTGCACACCTAGTTTCCCTAGTACACACTATGTACACATCCAACCCACTCTATTACATGCCAACTGTATACCCCAGCCTCCCTAATACACATCAGGTGCATACCCAGTTCCCAAAATACATGCCAGGTGTATGCCTTGCCTCTGTGGTGCATACCAGGTAGATGCTTAGCCCCCCTTAGAACAAGCCAGATAGGTATGCCCAGCCAGCTCTAGTGCAGGCCCCAGGCATGCCATGCCCAACTTCCCTTGAATTTGCCATGTATAAGACCTGCCTCCAGTACATGCCAGGTGTAAGCTCATCCCTCCTGGTACATGCCAGGTATAAGCCCTGCCCTCTAAAAAACTAAGGGCACACACCCAACTTCTCTGTATATATACCAGGGACCTGCGCATCCCTATTTCCTGCAAGGTCCTCAGCCCTGCCCTGCTGTTCCTTGAGAATCCCCCACATCCTTGCTGTGTTGTTTGGTCCACTTGCATTTACCTGCATCCATGCCAGAGACAGAAGGGCGAGCCAAACCCACCTGAGCCTAGGTGTGCAGGCCAAGACCATTCAAGTCCAACCACAGGAGCGGCTGAGGCATGGCAGCCCCAGCCCCAGACCGTGTTGCTACTGTCAAGTGCCGTCAGGCTCAGCCCTACCTTCTGCTGCACTGACCTCCGCCTCAGAGCTGAGACCATGAGCTACTGACCCTGTCCCATCACACCTCAGGGTTCTGCCTGGCCATGTACCACCCAACCAGTGCTTAGGAAAGGTGACATGTGGATTGAGGCCACTAAACTGACCTCTTCATGTAATTGTCTGTAAACTGAAGATAATCATGGTGCCCACTTTACACAGTTAATGTCAGAATTAAATGAGCAAAACACATAGCAAAGGAGGTAGCTGTTATTTATTATAATTATTATTATTATTGTTTGCGTGATGAACATCTATTCGTCCTTTAATACCCAACTCAAATGTCCCCATGTCTCCCTCCCATGCCATGTCAGCAGGCCCATTACCCTATTGGGATCTGGGTTGAAGTTGCAGTAAAGATTCTGTTCTCCTGGGTCCCCAGCAGCCCCTGTAGGCTTACTCCTGCCTGAATTCTGTGTCTCTTGCAGGAGAAAATGCACAAACTCCTGGAGGTGTACGAGCAACTAGGTGGAGAGGAAGACATTGTCAACCCGGCCAATGAGCTGATCAAGGAGGGCCACATTCAGAAGCTGTCGGCCAAGAATGGCACGGCCCAGGACCGCCACCTCTTCTTGGTGAGTCCAGCTGCCACCCCAGCCATAGAGCCCCTCACCTGCCCCTTCAAGTCCTGAAAAGAACTGACAGGGCTCAAGGACATGGCTCTCCTGTGTCCTCTCCTGTCAGGACTGAAGACATCATCTTTTGCCAGCGGCTCAACCCTGTTTGCTGCAAAGATCTCCTATTTTTATCTCTTGCATCCATCCCTGTCCTCTGTGGGGATTGGGCCGTCTCCAGCAACCAGGAGAACGCAAACTGGAGCCTCACGTTGTGATTCCAACTATCCCAGAACCAAACTCTGATTTAGAGCAAAGGGGAAAGACAGGAAGGAATTACAGCGAGAGATCCATTCCAGGCCCCTGATCATTTCCTCTCGCTTCTATTCTTCTTGAATAAGCAATTAGATCTTTGCAAGTTCTTTTCTCTAGAAATTCACATTCAGCAAAACTCACCTTTGCTGTGCAGTTCTGACTTTGCACAAATTCAGTTGATGTTACCATAATCAAGTTACTGAAGAATATGAGCACTGTCCCCCAATTCCCTTGTCCTGCCCCTGTGGAGTTAAGTATTCCTGCAGCCTCTGGATGCCGTCAACCTGTTCTCAGTTTCTATAGCTTCACTTTTCCGGAACAGCACATAAATGCTCTGAGACAAAGCTGGTTCATTCAACAAGCGCATCGCTGGGTTTCGTTCATGTTTGTGTGTCAGTGGCTTATTCAAAAGTTTTGCTTTCTTATTACACAATTAGCTCATGTGCCTGGTGGACAAATGAAAAAGTAGGAATGGCACAAAAATAAAGCTATTGTCCGCAATCATCTCAAAGATAGATGTAACCATGGCTAAAATGATTGCACACATCTTTTTTTTTTTTTTTTCAAATAGGGATTTATTAAGTTGCCCAGGCTGGCCTCAAAATCACACTCCTCTCACCTCAGCCTCTTGAATAACTGGGATTACCAACTTGCCTGTCTCAATTTATTAACTTTTTGTTAATTTAATCTCCTTTGAGGTACTGAGAATCAAACCCAGGGCTTTACACTTTAGGCAAGTCCTCTGCCACTGAGCTACACCCCAGCCCACCTCTGCATCTCTTAAAAAATATTCTTTACTTTTTGACCTTAAAGAAAAGGGCTGGAGTTGTGGCTCAGCGGTAGAGTGCTCGCCTAGCATGTGAGAGGCCCTGGGTTCGATCCTCAGCACCACATAAAAACAAATAAAACAAAATAAAGGTATTGTTTCCAACTACAACTAAAAATTAAATATTTAAAAAAAAAAGAAAGAAAAAGAAAAACTTTGAAGGAGCAAGTGTCCTGTGGTCACTCACCATGTTGTCCCTCTTTCAGTTCAACAGCATGGTCCTCTACTGTGTGCCCAAACTGCGACTCATGGGCCAGAAGTTCAGTGTCAGGGAGAAAATGGACATCTCTGGTCTCCAGGTGGGTGAGCCCCTCTCTCCCAAGCCTGCTCCCCCACTGGGGGTGGGGCACAAATAGGGGTGGGGACGCAGGCTCTGGCTACCAAGTCTATATGTAACCAAGGGATGGCTGGGACATCATCTTGGCCCTGGCATCTTGGGCTGGGTGGGCAGGGTTCCTCCCTCTCTGGTTTGGCCCATCTGCCTGGTCCCTGCTGGCCCCATGTTGAATGATGGAATCTCAAGTGCACAGACTCCATAGCTGCAGGGGTTGTCACCTAAGGCCAGACCTCAGGGCCTCATGCCCCAAGGTGATGCTGAGGTCATAGGAACAAATCTGAGGTGGATCGTGGCTCTGCTTCCCTGGCCTGGACCCTGGCCCTGAGCTCTCTCCTTTCCTCACCCTCTTGGAGCCAGCCAGCAGAGGGCTCACAGGTGCCCGTGTGTCCTTGCTATACCCTGGCTCTGTGAGCCTGTTCCACGTCTCACGGTGGCAGGTGGAACGGATGCTGTCCCCTGTGGGGAAGGCTTTGAATTAGCCAGAGCTCCAAAAATATTGGCTACATGAAAGTGTTTAATCATTTCCAAAGTAAAGTTCCTGGGTGAGGGAAGGAAGAATAGTAAAGTTTTTCTTAAATGACACCAAAAAATAAAACCCCTTCTTTCCTTGAAATTCTCTGAATCTAGGTTAAGAAACCCAACTATTACAAGTGCCTAACCAGAGAGGGGGGAAAATACCTTTTTCCCTAGTTAGAAGCAACCATTTTCCCAGTGTTTCTCTATAAGAAATCAGTCCTGATAATGAATCTGATGTGTTCATGCAGTTCTCAGCCTGTGGCTGGGAGAGTCCAGAGGTTCTGAGCAGGGTCCAGAGTCTGTATTCCTTAAAGCCACCAGCTGGCAGGTGCAGGGAGGAGGTGGGTTCTGAGGGGACTGGGGACCACAGGGACCACCAGTTCTGTTCTGCCACTGTGCTCTGTGGTCTGGTGCTGAGCACAGATTCTGAGACTCTAGAAGGAAACAACACTATTTCATCCGCTCTGTCTGGGCTCATGCTCTTCCGTTTTCGTCTTTACACTGAGGATGCACCTGCCCACGTGGACTCAGATATCTGTAAGGGGGCTCAGGCCTGCCTAGCTCTTCTCATAAGATCCTCAACCCTCCTAAGGAGTGTACCTGCTGCAGGGAGGTGGGGTCTGTGGGAAAGGCTGGGCTGGGATGGCTGGGGGCCACCTCTAGAGGAGGCTGATGGGCAGATAGGTTTGGTCAGGCATGTGATCAGCCATGTTCCAAGCACAGGGTCTCAGCCCTCTTTGGGCAGGGCAGGCAATCCAGTATCCCCCATGGGTCCCCTCCTGCAGCAGCTGTCAGCAGCCACCATGACATCTCCCTAGGGAAAAATTTCAAAGATGATTTTCCATGTGAAAAAAAAAAATTTGCATGTGGCTGGTGCTGAGGAGGAGCTGGAATGACGGCTTGAGTTTGTTTGTGTTTTGTTCTTTGTTCTTTTCTCCTGTTCCTGCAGGTGCAGGATATCGTCAAGCCAAACACAGCACATACATTCATCATCACAGGAAAGAAAAGGTCCCTGGAGCTTCAGGCCCGGTATGGCTCTGGCCTCCCTAGTGTCTGCTGCGCTGTGAACTTCTTTGACCTCATTGTCGCAAATGGTGCATTTTCCTAAATGCAATAACCTTTCAATATGTTTTTACTTTTTTCTTTTATCCACAATTCAACGTTTTACTACACCAAGGGGAGGTCAATAAAAAATAAGCCTTTGCCCAGTTCCTGTTCCCCAGGCCCGGCAGACATTCTTAACCCTTGCTTAAGGATCCTTCTGGAAGTTTCTGCACTCACATGCTTTTCAAGAATTTTAGGGGCTGGGATTGTGGCTCAGTGGTAGAACGCTCCCCTAGCATGGGCGGGACCCGGGTTCGATCCTCAGCACCACATAAAAATAAAGGCATTGTGTTGTGTCCATCTACATCTAAAAAAATAAATACTTACCCCCCAAAAAAGAATTTTATATCAGGATTATTTTTTTCAGTACTGGGAATTGAACCCAGGGCCTTGCACATGCTAGGCGAGTGCTCCGTCACATAGCCCCATGTACTCTTTCAAAATTACCTCTCCAGATGGGATAACCACAGATGCTATTCCCGGATAGCCTGGACCGCATCTTCCATTTTTCACTAAATTTTTCAGGCATCGTCCCCTATCCTCACACCATTTTCTAAAGCAACATAATTCTCCCTCATCATCATTAACAGGTTCCCATGGATAGGTCCCTGGACCTCCCTGGATCTCACCCTGGCAATTGGTGACAGTGTTCTCATGCTTAGGTTTTTGTGTGTATGTGTCATTGTATCCATCTGATACATTTCTGACAACTTTGCTGGTTAAAGTGCAGTATGTCTGTTCTGAATTTCAAAGGCTGTGGTCCCATTGCCAGGCTTGTGTTGTGAGTGTGTGGCAGATCCAGCCTCCCACACCTCACCCCTGACTTGAGAGTCTGTAACCATCTGCTAAGGCCCAGGGAGGGGTTGACTGGCCTTGCTGCAGCTGCCCTGAATGGCAAGCCTGGTCCTACCTGGCCACGATTGCTTCAGGCATGAGGGCCAATCTTCCACGCCTCAAGCCTCAGTTAGGAGAATGAGTGGCTGGTGTGTGCGCAGGGCGGAGAGAGACTGGCGGTCTACAGTCAGTCTCCAAGACCAGGTTAGTAAAATACTATTCTTGTTCTTATAGGACAGAAGAAGAGAAGAAAGAATGGATTCAGGTAAAGCTTCTAAATTTTTGAAATAACCAGATCCCCAAGTTATTGAGCAGTGTGACCATTTCCTGTTGGAACAGAGAAGGTGGCTCTGTGACCATGTCCCCCACCGCCCATTGCTTCTCCCAGTGTTCCGCCCCTTGAAGTCAGGTAGTGACTGGCATGTCTTCATAAGCACCTTCAGATGCCACAAGACTTTCAGTCCACTTGCCACTTTGAACTCCTCCCCCATAAATAAGTAGCCATAAATGGGCCCAGAGGGGCTTCAGGTAAGTGTCCTCCTTCAGAGGGGGTCTCCGTGGTCCCAGTGGCTCCAAGGGAGAGCCCATGGTCCAGGCTGCCCTTCAGACTCTATGGAGGTGCATCCAGGAGGGACCAGCTTGCCAAGCCTTGCTTAGCAGCCCCATCTGTGGGAATAGCTGCACCCCCAACTCACATTCATTGAGGGGAAATAAAATGGTCACAGGCGTGGACAGTGCTCCATAACACCCAGACCCCGTCCTGGAGGACAGAGGCAGGCAGATGCCCCCCACAGTGTCCAAGTCCTCCTCAAACGCTGACAGCCCTATGGCTCTGCCCTGGGTCCAGGTCATTCAGGCCACCATTGAGAAGCACAAGCAGAAGAGCGAGACCTTCAGGGCGTTCAGCAGTGCCTGCAGCCTGGACGAGGACTCGGGCCTCTGCCCAGATTCCCCGGTGAGTCAGCAGCCTGTGCCAGGAGGGTGGGGATGGCTGGCTGCCAAGGAGAGAGGGGCAGACGTCCAGGAAGGGAGCTCAGACGTGTGTTCACCTGCCTGCCCTTGACGGAGTGCCCCCTGCAGTCTGCTGGGCCCCACAGTCTGGGGGTCCGTGCCTGTGTGGAAGAAGTACCTTATTGTGTTTTGCCATCTGCATGCCAGCCCTGTGCGTGGGTCACTGTCATCGCCATCATCACTGAGCCCCCGTGCCCTTCCTCTATGCCACTGTGACCAACCCAGGATGTCCAATGGCTGCAGACATCTTTTTGCAGGTGTAAATTCTCCCCGGATGCCCTCCTGCTCCGGGAAAGGTCAGCTCAGAGCCCTGTGGAGAGAGTATTGAGGGCAGCTCTTCTGATTCCCTGGGGAGATGCCCTGGGGGACAGGGGGTAGACTCCATGTGGATTTGGGTCACTGCAGGAGGCCTGCTGCAGGGTCTCCACTGAGTAGCCAGGAGGAAAAGACGGGGCTGAGGCCAAGGCAGAGCCTGGCCATCCCTCCTATCTGGGAGAGAAAGTTGAACCAGGAGGTTGATCTCAGCCTGCTGCGAGGAAGGCCTGGAAGTGTCTGTTCCTGGGTCGTGTGCTGGGTGGGGGCTAGGGGCATAGCAAGGACCCCTGGGAAGAGGAAACGTGATGCCCTGGGTCCAGGCTTCCCTTCAGACTCTGTAGAGGTGCATCCAGGACCAGCTTGCCAAGCCTTGCTTAGCAGCCCCATCTGTGGGAAGAGCTCCACCCCGAACTCAGATCACAGACTTTATTAGACTTTGCTGATTCTTTCTCTTGCACCTCCTACCGCCATGCACAGAGGTGCTGAGTTTGAGGAAGTGACCCCCTGCTGCACAGAACATGCAGCCCTGTGGCCTTGGAGTCACCTTACATTCAGCCTCTGAATTCCTTTCTAGATGGTGAGCACAAGCTCCACGGAGCCTGCATTGGTGACCGATGGCAGTGGGGGTGCCATAGGGGTAAGTGACCCACACCCAGCAGTCAACAGGGGCAGGAGGTGTCAGGGGTCAAGCAAAGCTCAGAGGTCAGCCTGCCCCTCCCCCACAGTGTGTTCAGGGCCAGGGTGTGCAATTGTGAAGCTGTGTCTGAGACCAGGCTCTGGTGACTTGGATCCTGGAGGTGGTCACTGCTGGGGCTCTTGGTAGAGGCCGCGAGGGAGTCTGTTGGTGGTTGTCACATGGCTGTGTGCCTGTGCAGGAATTCTCTGAGCTCGACACGAACATTTGTGCTTGTTCCGTGTAAATTTAGGCCTTAACAAAACATGTAATCATACCGAACCCAGGTCCAGAAGATCAGCCACGGAAAAACCAATGTCAGAGAGACGAGTGTTGGGGAGAAAGAAAGGCTTTATTCAGCCGCCAGAGAATGGAGAAGTGGGAACTTCGCTCACAAAAGAGCTTTTCCATTCCAGGAACTTGAGGAGTTAGAGATACAGACTAGGAGGAGTAACAGGGCAGAGGGCTAGGCTTTTAAGAGAAGGACTGTTCTCGTCTGAATATCCTGGAGGAACTCTGGTGCCACCTCTTTTTACACCTTTCAGGGTTTGGTGTTTCCAGTCATGGTGGCTGGCAGGTGCCGTTAGCCTTGAAGGAGGGAGGGGGGGGGAAGAGAGAGAGAGAGAGAGAGAGAGAGAGAGAGAGAGAGACACCAGGCAAGTCTACCCTACATTGTAGTTTTGGACAAAACACTTTTCAAATGACCAGCATGTCCACATCAAGAGCTGAGTATAAAAATCTGACCCAAAGGTTAAAATGGAACAAAGGGGAGAGGCATAACATGAAGGCGGATGCCAAGGGTTCTCATCTTGTCCAGTCTCCCACAGAACGCGTGCCAGGCCTGGGTGAGGAGTCAGAGTTTTCAGTGTAGGCTGCTTTATGGTCCCTGGAAAATAACCTGGGCGGCCATAATCACAATAGTCCACATGTCAGAGCTGTTACCTACCAAAACCCTACTGGGAGACGAATAACGATCACCCACCTGTGTGACCTCCAGAATCAGTGATTTTAAGTCAACTAAGAGCGAGCAAGGCTAGCAGGTTTCTTTAGGTTTCCCCCAGTCATGTGGCAGCAAGGTGCCAGGTCCTTAGGAGGACCCCAGGAAAGCATCCCAGCCTCAGACCCTCACCCTAAGCTGGTGCTCTCACCTCTTGCCTCCTGTGTTCTCGACTCCCTGAAGTCAGAGCAGCCCCCAAGGGTGACACTCAGGGCCAGGCCCCATGCCTGCCAGCCAGGGACTCCCCGGAGACCTTGGAGAGGCCCCTCTCCCTCCATTTAATGTGGGAGATTAAAGAAGCGCAGTGAAGTCCCCCAGTGACTTCCTGCTCCAGTGAGCACCAGCACCTGGAGCCATGTCATTAACTGGGGCCCGACACTCACTAACACTGATGCCACAGGTGGCCCAGGAGCACCCTGGGTGGCTGCTGCGACCAGAGTGCTGGTAAGGCCCTTCCTAGGCACCTTGCTGGGTCCTGCTGTTCTCCAGGCTCAGGTTGGCTGTCCCCAGCCCCAGCCTAGACATGGGCTCCTCCTCCCCTCCCTGGGGGTCTTCGAGACACCACCACAGAGTACAGCCCTGCATGCTCTGCACACCTGCCTCACTCCCCGTACTTCCTCTCCGTCTCCCTGTCTATCCTCCTGTCTCTCATGTCTGTCTCTGTCTCTCTTTCACACACCCCAGACGGCTCATTGCTCAGGGACAGGTGTGGGCCTACCTGGAGGAGGCCTAGGCCAGCTGAGGACTCAGCCTGCCCATTCGTGGCCAGCCCTTGAGGTCTCTGGTATCCCAGTCCTGCTGCTACTCTGGAGTTGTGTCACAGCCAGTCCCACTGTGGGGGAGAAAGCAGGTTCAGGGCAGTGACATGTGTTGGCCCTGAAGCAGATGTCAAGGAATCCCCGTGGGGACAGGGCCACCTGGTGGTGAAGAGCAGGGAAAGGCTGGGAGGAGAGGCACACACCTCTTTGGTAGGGTGACATCACTTCCCACTTCACGGAGCAGTGAGAAGCCCTGGCCAGGTAGGCCTGCCTGGGTGGCCTGGCTGGTGTCATCCCCTTCCCTGGGACCTGAGCTTTACCAGGTCTCATGGGGTGTCTGGATGGGCGTCAGACAACCCTATGGAAATTCCTGAGGCTTCAGGGAAGGCTGGGGCCTTTCAGGGGTGGGACGAGGAGGCGAAGGGGGAAGCTCAAGATAAGCAGGCAAGAGGAGAGACCCCTTCCTCAGTGGCACTGCTGCCTGCCCACACAGCAGGCATCCTGGGGGTCAATTCTGTTGAAACTGAAAGTCAGAAAGTCAGAGGGTGGTACAGGAAACCAGCAGGGAAACAAATGTCTAAGCTCCCAGCTGGCTACCTGGCTCAGCTCTTGTCTGGTTGTACCTGCTTCCTGCCCTGCTCCCTGAGATGCCCTGGAGTCCCTTGCTCTGCCAGGCCCCAAGCCTTTGCCCCTTTGTCTGCTCTGCCCACACTTATTGTGTGAATCAGCCCATGGGCAACTTTTCATATTGCTCAACGGTGTGAGTGAGGCTGGTGGTACCCAGACCCATGTGGTTCCTGGTCCCTTTCCTGGAGGATTTATAGGGATGTATGGGAAGCAGTGGGTACTTGTGGGTGTGTGGCTGCACCCACAGACTGTCCTGCCAGAAGGGTGCATGCTCACAGTCAGCAGGCGACTCCACAGCTCACACAACTGTGTGCGAACACTCCCAGGCAGCCCACTGCTTCATGAGGTACCCTGGACTGGATCCAGTCTTCAGCCTGGGATGGGCCTCGGAAGGCATCACTGGTCACTGAGGCATATGAAAGCCACTTGTTTAGTGCTAGGGGTTGAATCCAGGGACTCTTTACAACCGAACAACATCCACAGCCCCCCACTTTTTTTTTCAGATAGGTTCTTGCTGAGCTGCCAAGGCTAGTCTTGAACCTGCCATCTTCCTGCCTTGGCCTCTGGAGTAGCTAGGATTGCGGGCACCCTGGGAAGCCACCAGTTTCTTATTTGTGCTGCTTTCCCTGGGGCTGAGCCCCTATGTCATGGAGATGGGACCCCCAATGCCCTCGAGATGGAGAAAAAGCAGAAGTGGGTGGGGTTGTGGTCAAGGAAGCCCTGGGTGAGGAGGACTGGGTTGTTTGTAGGAATAACCATGCTTAGGGCTGGCCCAAGGGGCATTGGCATGGGGCAGGTGGAATAGTCCATGGCAAGGGCTAACTGGGGGTCAATGCCCAGATCAGAAGTGTTCTAGCTGGAAGGAACCAGAAAGGTCATGTTTTAAAATGGTTTACCCTGCAGAAAGACACAGACTCAGAATTGGCCAAGGATTGAGGCCTCAGGCAAGTGTTAACCTTCTCCAGCCTCGGTTTCCCCTGGCAGGAGAGATCAGGGAAGCTGTTGGGTGCCTAATATAATAAGCGCTTCAATGCCTGCCCACCTCCTTACCTCAATCCATGTCTGGCATCTCCCTGGGTAAGACTGTGGTCACTATGGTACTCGTGGCCAAATGACTGCTTGGTCTACTCCACTTGCCTTCTCCTGCCCAGGCTCAGCCTTCTGCAGGTTCTATAGCATTCACCCCATGACAGCCAGGTTCTTGAGGGTCACAACTGCAGTTCTGTTCTCCTCATCTTTGTCCCTTCACCTGCACCAACCTGGGGCCTGCCCCACCTCCAACAATAGGCCTACAGCTGAGGCATCCCTGCCCCCAGTAGGTATCACTGTGTGTTTCCCATGGGTGTCTCCACCCCCACCGCACCCCCAGCAGAGCTGAGCTGAGCTGAGCTTTGGGTGAGACCCGGGGTGGCTCAGGGTGCATCTGTCGACCTGCACTGAGCAAACAGGGTGGGACATATATACGCACAGTGGGCAATTTACAAGGTTCTCAAAAGAAAAATTTAATTCTGACACCCAAGAGTGATCTTTGCTCCAGAATTCCAAACTTAAGCTTTTTCTTAGCATATGTAGAAAGGAAAATGAATCTACCCATGGTACAGTGGTTTCATTTCCTGGGCCGAGATGTCTTCAGAGGTACTGTCCCTCTAAGACCCTCTTTCCAACGAGAAGCCAAACCCCAACCAGGAAGTTTTGTAAGGGGCCCCGCAGAACTCAAAGCCTTCCTCATTCTGCAAAAGTCCCCTTGTGTCCACAGAAGCTCTAAAAGTCAGAGTGCAAAAGGTCCCAGGGTGCCAGACCTACTGTGGGTGGTAACACAAAGACCCAAGGCACCAGCAAGGACCCCACTCTGGTCACCCTTGTGCCAAGGACTCCCTCACAATGCAGGACTTGCCTTTCCTGCAGGAGGCCCACCCTGTGCTGCAGGAAAGAGCCATCCCAAGAGGAGTAGAGGGGCCCGGCCTGGCTTCTGCTGGCCGCCTCCTGTAGGAAAGACCCTGTGCTGTGCCCTTGGCTTGTGTCCACCTGGATTTCCCATGCTGTGTCATTCTGCTGTCCGATGTAACTGATGTGACTCCATGAGGGCCACTGATTGGGGTCTGAGTCTGTCTTATGGAGTTCTCCCCCAGTTCCCTGATGTGCAGCTAACTCCAATGAAGAAGAACTGCTTAGGGAACAGCCCTGTTGGCCCTTGGTGGATTCCAACTTCTGGGTCGATGTTGGCACATTTTGGGTGGTTTGGGCGGAATTACTTGACCAGTTACTTTCCAAAGTCCTGGAAAGACTTGGGTCCAGCCTTCAGACATCCTGACACCTGTGCAGAGAATCTGAGCCTTTTCCTTGCGTCAAACTGCCTGGTAACCTCATCCAAGAGGAGAGTGTGGCTGGCCAGTAGACCCATCCCTGGCCACACAGGTGGCTTCCTCCCCCTCTGGCCACCTGGTCACTGCAATCTACAAATCAAACCAGATCTCTGTGTCGGGGAACTAGTGTGGTCAGAGGCAGAGCCTCATCAGGGAAGGGCTATGGGCCTCAGTATGTAGGAGCCAGGAAGTGCTGGGGCCCCTGTCCTAGGGCTTGGCTTAGCTCTATGGGCTGACCATGGCAGACTTGCCTGATGATGTCCCCAGCCCTGAGTAGGCCTCCTTGCCCTAGGAATTTTCTTCTGAACTTTGGCTGGGGCTGGGCCTCCACTGATCCGGGGGGCTGAGCTGTTGGCCACACGCCCCAGCATGTCACAGCCTTCCCTCCATCCCCCGATTCCCTGATGGCCCCACAGCTTCCTGGGTTCTCAGCTGCCTCCTGGGTGCCATGGAAGGGTCCTCTACCCTAGGTCCCTGAGAGTCACAGGTCCGAGCTGTCTGGCCACCTGACTGCCAACCACTCCTTCCACCTGGGCCTTTGATTTCTCACCTGAGAAAGAGGAATGCGGGCACCCTGAAGGTGGGCAGGGGACAGAGGCTGCAGAGCCATGGCAGACCCCGGGGATGGCCCCCTTCCTCCATGCTGTCCTTTTCCTTCTCACTGTCCGTTCCTTGCCCTGGGCCTCAGTTACTCACTCCACCTTACAAATGAGGAAACTGAAGCTCAGAAGAGAAGTGACTCATCCAGGGCCTCTTGGCTGATGAGGGCCAGGGCAGGAGCCTGGGGACTGTCACTGGTCATAGTCAGACAGGGAGACTGAGGCTCAGCTGCAGCCTCGGT